TTCCAACGAAAGTTTCCAACAGCAGTTAACGGGCTATTTGTGATGAGCACCTGAACTTTGGTGATTATCTCACCATATTTCACAAAACTACCCTCAAATTTTGAACACCCTCATGATTTAAAAGACAGCCCAGCGAGAAGTATAGCAGGACAGGCGGAACGCAAGCACGAATTTTTCAAAAGGCAAAGTGGAATCGGAATATGCCGAACATAAGGCCGAAGTCAGACTGGAATGCACAGACTATTTCACCGGCGTGGGAAGAGTAGGCGCGAGGACGGGTGTGGCCACTGCACGTCAAACTTTAACATCACCGCTGGGGTGGCGCGCGGAAAAATTGACCGCAGAGCTTTCGGGCCGCCGTTTTTCTGAACGTGCCTGGAAGTGTCTCCGAGCAGCAAGCCTGCCATTTCGGGAGACAGCGACCGGTGGTCCCAGACTTGCAGTGATATCTGAAGAGAGCGAGAGGGTGCAGTCTTTACGGCTGGAGCAGTTCAATCACGCAAATGCAAAATTCCACCCAGAATTGAAAAGAACAGGAATAGGAGGCCATAAGAGCTCATTGCCGCACACCATGAAGTCGGTAGGAATAACAAACAAATGGCTGCATAAATTTTTGAAACAGGTTTCAGTTTCGCACATAACGTACCTACCTCTCACTTGCACTCCCCCGAAAACTATAGTTATGCAATGTTTGAAGTGCTAGATAAGCAGAAGTGCTTTTGAAAAAAAATTATTCAAAATAATATCATCCATAAAATGCATTCGGGTGCTGCAACAAAACATACGCTACCAAAAATAGACAAAACTACAACCGTATGTGTTGCCTGTCATTTTTAACATGTGCCTGAAAGTTCCACTTTTGTTTTCAAGTCTCCTAAATTTAGTACAACGCACGGCTCCGTTTCCAAGTAGCCACCAGACGATCCGTACATAGTTAGCTCTTCCGAGACGCCACCCGGGCGTAAGGAAAGCCGAAACGCAAACCCCATGCAACCACCCCAGAACGGGGCTAACGACAGCTCCCGCAGACTTAATGGCGATTCCCACGGGCGGGGAGGGGGGGGGGGAGGGGAAGGCCAGCACACGCACGCTGCCAGCTGCGCTCCTGGGCGTGCCGTGGGTACTGGACGGGGAGGGGGAGTGGTCCCCTTCCGGCGGTGCGCGGCCCGAGGTGGCGCTCCCACAATCCATCATGGCCGCTCCCATTACCCCGCGGATCGGGTCGCGCCCGCTCGGCCGGCGCCTTGCCATTTGTCGCGGCGGGGCCAGCGCTCGCGCGCGAATCATTGCTTCCCCGTCCTCTGGGTGGGGACGAGAGGCAGCGGTCGCCGAACGTCTTCAGAAGTGTTCCATTGGATGAGCACGCGTGACCTATCGAGGGAAACTGGGTTGGGCAGGCTAAGACGGTGCACATACACTGGGCGGATTTTGTGGTCACGCACGTGCTTTTTTTCTCGAGTCTCCTAATATCAGGACAATGCATGGCTCGGCTTCCAAGCAGTCCCAAGAGCGGGCTTCTTCAGAATCATTCGATGCCATCTTATTGATTAGTGGCGTACTGTAACCCCTATTTAAAACATTAACACTGCGCACTTCGCACCGCGCGCCACGCGAGACAAAAACGTCGGGCGAGAAAGGAACATTGTAAACACGGGGCGACGGAATGTCGATCTCCGAGGGCACCGATCCTGCAGCGGTGCGGACGTGGGACAGTTTGCCAGATATTAAGGAACGGCTGTGCTAGTATTACACTTAAGACAAGTGCTGAGAGGAAAAGGTGTTTTAGTGTCATACATGTAGGGACATGTCATATGTGATGTCATGTATGTCATATGTCATACATAGCAGCCGAATTGCAGCGGAGTGGGCAGTCCTCGGCTAACCACCTTTACTGAATGCTGGACACTAAACCTGCGAGGTCTTGTACATGTATGCGACTAATGTTGCGGGAAAGAAATAACTGAGAAGGTTCATCATCTGTCAGGGACATTTCAGCGACTCTGCTTAGCGGTCGCCAGCGAGAGCAAAAGCCACTCAACGACCTGCCCAGCATGAGCGCAGAAATTAGTGGAGGCGTGCCTGGCGGGAAGACGGTGCAGTGAGCGTATTCCAAATGTTCTAAACCCATTTCCGGCTGCTGTAAGACAAATTGTCTGCTTGTGACGTTTTCGTGGAACTGGCCGTGGACCCTGCTTCAGCGGGCCTCCGAGCATGCTCTGGATTCATCGGTCGACTCTGATCGTCCAGCGGAGCCTGAGCTCTGATCGCCCAGCGGAGCTTGAGCTCTGATCGTCCAGCGGAGCTTGAGCTCTGATCGTCCAGCGGAGCTTGAGCTCTGATCGTCCAGCGGAGCCTGAGCTCTGATCGTCCAGCGGAGCTTGAGCTCTGATCGTCCAGCGGAGCCTGAGCTCTGATCGTCCAGCGGAGCTTGAGCTCTGCTCAGCCAGCGGAGCTTGAGCTCTGATCGTCCACCGGAGCTTGAGCTCTGCTCGTCCAGCGGAGCTTGAGCTCTGATCGTCCAGCGGAGTCTGAGCTCTGATCGTCCGGCGGAGCGTGAGGCTTATATTTCTTTGCTCAGAATTCCCAGCTTCAGCGCGAATTCCCATCACCTGACAGATGGAGAGCGCTTAACGTGGATGTATTCATGTGGTTTAGGCGCTAGTGACTACTTTGAATAATACCGAAGCAAGACAGGCCATCAATTTCGATAACAGCCACAGAAATACCGGAAAAGAGAGAGGCGTAAGGTGATTTATGCGCAATTCCGACCTGACCACAGAATCATAACAATGAGCTTCAGACGATGCCCACAAAACCTTTGATTTCTATGAGTCTCCGGTGTGCAATATCGCGCGATTCTTAAACACACAGCCTCTGGGGTGAGGATGGCAGATAATCGGCGGAGAGTGCGGACCTGTTTTGAAAGCAAATAGCACTGATGTGTTTGTCTGGCGTTCGGGCGCGCGGCCGTTTGGAGCCAGTTGGTTTTAGAGGGGGTTGATGTCAAGAGCGTCCGGTTGTGCTGACAGATGGGAGTCTCACCTAAAGCTCGTGATGGCAGAATATGTGGCTCGACGCCCACGAATAAATGATCTGTTCTAGAAGGTGTCATTGTGAACCAAAACGTTCATCTGTCTTTCTGACAGCACTGCCTGCCTTCTCTTTGATGGCAAGGAAACCAGCGTTCTAGGGTATTTAACCAAAATAAATAATTAACAAGGCCACAGACTATTAAAAGGTACAACTAAATTAGAAGCCCTCCCTCAATATCTCTGTGGCCCTCCTGGTTTTGATCACACATCACTGCAAATCACATCTACCACGGTCGAAATATTGTCACGGTACTTCCGCCTCGGATCACGCGGTAAGCGGCGGGATGAGCCGGCGAATTACCGGCGGTTATACAGGGATCCACCAGCAGAGCGTCACGCGCAATAACGCCCGCCCGGGAGCTCGTCACTCAGCCGACCGGGCTCTCCGACCGCAGACTGGGCGCATGCGATGCGAAATGGTGCGACGGAGTTCTCCTGAGAGCGAGTTCCCTCAGCGGTCATAGCGTGAGGTAATCAAAGCGTGCTGTTCACTGTCCAGACTCGTCAGCCAAACGTTATTCAGTTTCGCAAACGTTTTCGCCTACGGGGAGTCAGAAAGTGTTGTTTAAAAACGTCATCTTACGTTGCATTGCGCATCTCTGTCGTTTTCAATCGTCGATTGACTCGCACCTGCTCACCGTCAGACGGTTTGCCATGACAGGTGCCGCAGCATTTTCATCACTGATTACAAACGATTTTACACAGGTATATTTAACCAGGAATCGCTGTTGAATTCACATGGCTGCGTTGCATAATGCTTTATGAGGTCGTGTTGTGAGACAGACGGGCTGTGAGAGACAGTACTGCCCAATGAGACATAGTTGAATGCAAAAGCAGACCCGGCTACCATAGTCGCAATAGACCACAGTCTTTGACGTCGATTCGTGAGTGCAGCTCTTTAACTCTTTTTAAACTCGCCAGAACTTCCATTATAACGGATGTCCGCGTTTGGAGTGTCCCATACGAAAACTGCTTTTTTAACGAGCCCGACGTGTGCCATCGCGCACCTCGTTACGGGAGCGCCAGTGACCGCAGTGGCAGATCAACGCCCAGCGGCCATGGCGCTATTAGAGTTCGAGCCACACCCCCTCCCCCCCCCCCACACCCCCCACCCCCACGGGGAGCTGAAGGCACTGACCTCTCTGCCAGTACGCCCCTGTAGGAACTGCTCTAACAGGGACAGTGGATTTGCTTGGCTCAATGCCATACCTGGATTTGTAACGTTCTGCTAGGTGAGGCGCGAGTGTTGCAGCTCGGAATCATTCGACCGGTACACCATAAGTAGCGCTAGGTGGTCCTGGACGCCATTGGCCGGGTCCACCAGGATGTGGATGAGTGTAAAGCCTCCATTCAAAATGGTAGTATCGAATGGTAGTCCCTCTAGCCGCCTTCGTGTGCCCTAGGCGATTTAATACCGGCGTATTCTCGCCACGTGAGTGTGCGTATGTGTGTTTGTGCATGTGCAATATTTGACTGATTATGGACGCAAACAGCCACTCGTTTACATTTTCGTGACAGTTCCATGCGGCTGTCATGTGGCTGGTCACACACAAGACGGCATCCTGATGTCTTCCACACTTTCCGGCATCATTATCGCATGCGCCCCTGTACACCGGAGTCTCATCACCACACCGGAGCCTCAGCACCCACACTGGAGCCTCAGCACCACACCGGAGCCTCAGCACCGCACCGGAGCCTCAGCACCACACCGGAGCCCCCCCCCCCACACACACACCGGAGCCTCAGCAGCGCACCGGAGCCTCAGCAGCGCACCGGAGCCTCAGCACCGCACCGGAGCCTCAGCAGCGCACCGGAGCCTCAGCACCGCACCAGAGCCTTAGTGGAGCTTCAGCGCCCACACTGGGGCCTCAGCATTCACACCGGAGCCTCAGCACCACCGGAGCTCACCTGTAGAAGCGCTCGCCCTCCGGCCAGCGCGACTGTCCGCTGCCGACGCAGGAGAGCGCCGGCTGCATGCTGAGCCGGGCCGAGTCCTTGTCGGTGTAGAGCAGCTCCAGGCCGTGGGCGTACACGGCCATGGCCCGCCCGATCTCGGCGATCATGCTATCCTCGTCCGTCTTGAAGTGCACGCCTGCCGACCCCGGTGGCGGCGTAAGAGGAGTGGGGGAGGCTGGAGCGCGTGGTGGAGGGGGCGGGGCGCGGGAGGGGGCAGCGTCGGGTCAGCTGATAGCTCGCGTGGGAGAGATGGTGGGGCGTACGGCGCGAGGGGCGCGGCACGATACGGGCAACACCTGGACCTAAACTGCGTGGAGCAGCGCTGCGAGAGAAGCATTGAGAACAAGGAGGGTAGGTGAGAACAATGATCTAAATTGCTTTAAAAGGGCAGGCGGTGGTGCAGAGCACAGTTTCCTTTTTTCTCCCTATGAGGAGGGAACGCGACGCACGTGCGGCGCCGTATTATGGACGGCCAGCGACTGCGTAGGTCGGAATCATGCTTCAAGGTCATGGCTCTATCGGCATTCGAACCCGGCCCCAATGTGGGAGCCGCAGGTATTAACCACTCAGCCATTTCACCTCTGGTGCGCATGTATGGTAGCGACCACGTGGACTTCACCGGAATAAACATACATCACAATAATAAACCTAAAAACATGCAAACAAATTTTGATTTTTTGTGCAGTTCTTTGCAGCAACGGTGACTAGCGAACAAGAAAAGGCTGGCAATAGAAAGATGCAGAGTATTTCGTAATCATGAAAACGGCGCGCCATTCCAGTCAGTTGGTCGCTGATGCGACTGCGGTGCCGTTGCATCCTAACACGACTGCTGGCGGCGCGCCGGAACCAGCGGCGCCAGGGCACCAGGCCGCCGGCGTTTCAGGTCAGGTGGCTCGCGTTTCAGCCCGCCACGTTTGCCTCTTGAGTTTGGGAAAAAATAACGCGGAAAAAGGATCAAATTTTCGAAGTTCAAAGCCAGAGCGGCCGACATCCAGGAAGCATGCCTCGGGCGTCAGGATTCAGGATTCCATCAGTTGCCATACTACAATCGGTTGCCAGACTTCGACCAGCTGCCAGATTTTGACCAGATGCCAGATTTCGATCAGTTGCCAGATTTCGACCCGTTGGTAGATTTCGATAGGCTACCAGACGACACCGCTCCGCCTCCGCGGACTGTCGCGCTCCCAGGCGCTGCGCCATTCACCGACGCGACGCCACGCGCCGGGCTCGCCCGTGTCTCCGCGGTCAGCCGACGCCAGGCACGCGCCACCGCACGCCGCGGCGGCGAGTCCTGGCGCGCGACAAGCGCGTATTGATTCGAACGACACGTTGGCCGAATGCGTCGTGATAGAGTGGTCAGGGGGCTTACCAAGGATCAGCGTGGGATCACTGACGTGGAGCGGCCCGCATAATGTCGGGTCAGGGTATGCCGCTGCCACCGGGCAGGGCCTCCCGGCGACCGGACAGGGCCTCCCAGAGGTCGGGCAGGGCCTCCAGAGGCCGGACAGGGCCTCCCTGCGACCGGACAGGGGCTCCCAGCGACCGGGCAAGGCCTCCCAGCGATCGGGCAGGGGCTCCCAAAGACCGGACAGGGCCTCCCAGAGGTCGGGAAGGGGCTCCCAACGACCGGGCATGGCCTCCTGGCGACCGGACAGGGCCTCCCAGAGGTCGGGCAGGGCCTCCAGAGGCCGGGCAGGGCCTCCGGCGACCGGGCAAGGCCTCCCAGCAACCGGGCAGGGGCTCCCAAAGACCGGACAGGGACCTCCCAGCGACCGGGCAAGGCCTCCCGGCGACCGGACAGGGGCTCCCAGAGACCGGGCAAGGCCCCCAGCGACCGGGCAAGGCCTCCCGGCGACCGGACAGGGGCTCCCAGCGACCGGGCAGGGCCTCCCGGCGACCGGACCGGGGCTCCCAGCGACCGGGCAGGGCCTCCCGGCGACCGGACAGGGGCTCCCAGCGACCGGGCAGGGGCTCCCAGCGACCGGGAAAGGCCTTCCAGCGACCGGGCAAGGCCTCCCGGCGACCGGGCAGGGGCTCCCAAAGACCGGACAGGGCCTCCCAGCGACCGGGCAAGGCCTCCCAGCGACCGGACAGGGCCTCCCGGCGACCGGACAGGGGCTCCCAGCGACCGAGCAAGACCTCCCAGCGACCGGGCAAGGCCTTCCGGCGCCCGGGCAGGGGCTCCCAACGACCGGAAAGGGCCTCCCAGCGACCGGGCAAGGCCTCCCATCGACCGGGCGAGGCCTCCCAGAGGCCGGGCAGGCCTCCCAGCGACCGGGCAAGGCCTCCCAAAGGCCAGACAGGGTTTCCCAGCGACCGGGCGGAGCCTCCCAAAGGCCAGGCAGGGTTTCCCAGCGACCGGGCGGAGCCTCCCAGCGGCCGGGCAGCCAAGAGCAGGAGGCAGCTAATATCTAGCCTTGGCACAGCTTTACGGAAGTTCAGGCATGAAGCAGGCAGCAAGGCTGTTGGTATGTGAGACACTCGTGTTCATTTATGAGTAACGGTCAACCCAATTCTTATGTTCAATTCGACCCTGGACTCATGACTTCAACAACAGCCTATGGCTCATGGTGGAAGTCAATGAAGCGAAAGCTGGGTTCCCTCGCCAGCTACCGCGAGATTCGGACGCTGTCGCTGCGTCGTCGGGGCCTCGCAGGCACCCGCTGCGTCACCGGTGACTCTCAGGCGGCCACTACGCCCCCGGTGACTCTCAGGCGGCCGCTGCGCCACCGGTGACTCACGGGCGGCCGCTGCGCCACCGGTGACTCACGGGTGGTCGCTGCGCCACCGGTGACTCACGGGCGGCCGCTGCGCCACCGGTGACTCACGGGCGGCCGCTGCGCCACCGGTGACTCACGGGCGGCCGCTGCGCCACCGGTGACTCACGGGCGGCCGCTGCGCCACCGGTGACTCACGGGCGGCCACCGCGTCACCTGGGCCTCGCAGGCGGCCGCTGGCAGCCAACGGCGAGGCGTTGCTGGGCGCAGCGGCCTGTCAGGACGGACTGACGCGTACAGCACTGACAGCGTGTAATCAGCGCCGGCTCCTGCTGCTCTTGTCTGCGTCGCAGGCAATCAGGAGAGCAAGCATGCAAAGCTAATGAAAACGTTGCAGTAGTTGAAGAGCATCTCATGTAAGCTCGTACGCGACGCGTATCCGTTATGTGATTGAATGTGTATCGAATTTCACGGCTAGTTTGTGCATACATTTTCACATTGCGCAGTGTGGAACTTGTTTATTCGAACCTGCATCCGTTTAAAGCGCACAGAATACCCAGGAATCATGCATTCGATAACTTTTGATCTCATCTGCATTAATTGAACGACATTCCTGAACCCTCTTCAATTACTCCAAACTTAGGTCAATCGCATAACTTCCAGACTGGTGAATTCAGATCTATTGAGACTGGAGTGGAGTCACATAACCCCACCCAACGGAACGCTGGACTGTTAGCGAGTTCCATACCAATCAGATTGTCCTTCTCTGTTGGAATGTCATCATGTAACAACAGCATGATCACCGAACACCTGAGCATTCCCAATTCTCGAAAATGAAAGCTCCGGCATCTATGCATCAAGGCTCCTGACATAAACGTGCACCGAAAGTGCTCACCGCTAAGGCTTCGAAGATCTTATGGTCCACTATCAATTTAAGTAAAACACGTCGTGGCATATCTTGGGCGATCATTTTCGGTCCGGCGACTTGTTCTTACGGTGAGCACCTTACGCAGCTCTGCGCTCTTTTCAGGTCACCCAGAGAACGCGCACTGCGAGGAGCACCCATCTCCACGTCCACGTTTCCCGTCTCTATTTGCACGTCGGGATGAACCGACAACCAACAGTGATGAAGTCTCAACTGCGCTTGGAGTGGCTGGCCATAACACGCAGACGTCCGAAACTTCGCATTTCGCCGCCTGAATCATGCGCTCTGCAAAGCCTGCGTCGCGTTTCTCCTTGACCAGCACTACGCCGCGGTTCGCAGCAGCGGCGTCTCGGTTTGACTGCGGGTCGTCCACTGAGTGCCGCTGTTGTGGGGCCGAAATAGTCGGCCGCCGACACTGTAGAAGAGCGTGACAAATGACTATGCGCGGCCACGTCGGGAACGAGGGCGTCACGCGATACGTCACGCGGATGATATTCGCGTATGTGGCCTCAGTGTGGTCTCCTTCCCGGCGACGAAGTCGAAGCTGCTATCCCCGTATGTTGTCATGAACTGCGTGAAAAAGAAGTCGGGGATGCAAAGACCTCCAACACATCGATGCTCCTATGCTGAGCTTCCAACATCTGGCTAGCAAGTTATCTCAATGTCATCTAAAAATTGTGCACCGTTGTACTTTCCCTATTAACTTTGGATGACAGAAAGCCTGGATAATAGCAACGAACCCCTAGTGTTTTCCTGTAATAAATAACTGGCATACAGTAAACTCCACTCCAGAGGCAATAGATAACAATAAAGCTTGCGCCGCCAGACTTATATTACAAAAGCCTTGGTGCGAGAAAACATCAAAATATCGGATAAAGAGAAATCTATACCCTGCTCGGATGCCTTTGGTTCGCAAGTCCGAGCAAAACATCATCCAAGGCGGTGTGGCAGATAATGCCCGAAATATTTCTATCGCGTAATGAGGTAACGAAAGGTTCAAGGTCAATGGCTGGACTAAATTACAAATGGAATGAAGATGTTTGGCGACCAGGCGCGAATTCCAGGAAAAAGGCTTCGCCCCAAAGGGTAGGCTTCCCCTCGGCTCCACAGTCAGCAACATTGCGGTCAAGGCGTCAAAATCATTGTCCCTTGCCTTCCGTCCACTGGGAAAACGCGTTTTGACAGCCGGTCATACTGCTGTATTGGGTGTTTATAGGCATAACTGTTTGCATTCCAAATGTCGGGATGTCAGTTTGTGATGAAAGAGGGTGTGCCGTCTATTCGCGGCTCGAGGTAGGAAATAGCACAGAACGGAGTTGTGCCAATATAGCGAGAGAGGCGGGGGGGGGGGGGCGCGGAAGAAATAGAACGACACTGCAGTAGGGAGAGAAGGGAGGAGGAGGAGGAAGGCGTGAGAAGAAAAGGTAAGAGAGAGAAAAAGAGAGAGAAAGAGAGAGAGATAGACAGAGAGAGAGAGACAGAAAGAGAGGGAGCGAGAGAGAGAGAGAAAGAAGAGAGAGAGGGAGAGAGGCAGAAAGAGAGAGAGAGAGCAAGAGAGAGAGAGATAGAGACAGACAAAGATAGAGAGAGCGAGAGAGAGAGAGAGAGAGAGAGAGCGAGAGAGAGAGAGAGAGAGAGAGAGAGAGAGAATATTATATTTGAGATCTATAGAGATATATCTAGAGATATATAGAAGAGAAGAGATAGAATATAGAGAATATAAGATAGATATATATAGGAGAGAGAGAGAGATAGAATATATAAATATATAGATATGATAGAGATAAGAGAGAGATATATAGTAGAGAGATAAGAGATATAAGAGATAATAGATAGAATAGATCTCTTTGATATATATCCCTATAGCTTATTCTATAATGATATCTCTAGTATGAGAGATATATAGATATATATCTGGAGCGTAAGATATAGCTATAGATATAGAGATATAGGAACCGCTTATGTCCCGCCCGCTAGGCCTGGGCGTTTCTCAATACCCATTATTTTAACGGTTTTGTTTGGCATTGGGAGGCCCAGCGGAACCGATTAGTACTTTACGAGGTTCGGTTGAGCCCGCGGAGTCGTCGGCGACCGGCCGGTGCGGCGGAAGCGCCGACTTCGGCGGGGCCGCTTCACCCTTACGGCGGGTGGGGATAGTTCAGCAGCACTGAGCCGCTGAGGGAGGCCGGACGGAGCTCCGCGCAGCAGCGTCGGCCTCAGTACCTGGACCTCTCGCTGTTTAATGATCGGAGCGCTTCGTGTCCTCGCAAGGGCGCACCCAGGATTTTCTTCGGTGGGGGGGGGGGGGAGGTCAGAGATCAGTGACTATGCATCACACCGGTGTCAGCCTTCCGTCGGAAGCCTATCTACGGTAAGGCACGAACAACAGAATCCGGGTCGCTGACGGTGTTTCCTCAGTCCAGGGTTATGCTGCCATCACAGTCTGTGTACCCTGGTCCGTTGTCCGCTACTCCAACGTGGTCCTCTGAGCCGATGCCCCAGTTCAGTACGTCTCAGCGCCTCCAATCAAGCGGTTCGCTGTTCTTGAGCTGAGCACACTGTCGTTGATCAGCCAGCAAACGAGCGTGAGAGGCCAACGCGAGGAGGTGCGGTGGGCAAGGCTGCTGATGGCGACAAGCTTCTGGAGTGCTCGAATGTTTCTGGCACCGGTTCAGCACAGACGCGTCGGCTTTAATGGAGCGAAACAGACCCCGGATCATAAAAGTTCGCTTTTGGCAAAACTTCATGGCTTCCGATGGTTGAATTGTGACCTATGCTGCTGCATGTGCGTTTCAATTTTGCGCTGCAGCCGAGCATTCAGCATCACCAGAAGCAGAGGCAGCGACATCGCCCGTCACGATGCGGGCCCGCAGCTCAGCATGCGGCGGGGGATTCCGTACAGAAGACACTCCTATGTCCCACCGCAGAAGGTCACCCATGTGACGATCTGTTGCCATGCTGGACCAGCAGAAATATCAAGCATATGTAACGTTGACATCGAGGAAACGGTCGCAACATTGAGGGCCGGAAAAGTTTTAGAATTACGCGCAAGATCCTCAATGGCTATTTGTGTTTCAAAACATTTCAATAGGAGAAGAAGTTTTCTAATCAAATTTGATTTTCGACGCGGACGGCTCGTTTGGAACGAGGACTCGGGCTTAACTGCACAAGTTTGTATGCCACTCTGACCATACAAAGTACTCTTGCAAATGCCATCGAAAGTCCTTGGAACGCCGTTAACGTTTCACGCGCTGAGCCATCATGAGGGCAATGTCACCTTGACGTGACCGCGGGTCACAGGCGGCATCGGCCCGGGGCCGCGTCAGCGGTGTGACCTGAGCACTCGTGACATGTGCTCCCGTGACATGTGCGCTCGTGACATGAGCGTTCGTGGCGACGTGACCCGAGCGTTCGTGGCGACGTGACCTGAGCGCTCGTGCTGTCGTGACCTGAGCGTTCATGCCGACGTGACCTGAACCCTCGTGTCGACGTGACCTGAGCGTTCGTGCCGACGTGACCTGAGCGCTGTTAAGACGTACCTGAAGATCGTGGCGACGTGACCTGAGCGCTCGTTAAGTAAGACCGTCGGAACCTGGATTCGTGACGACGTGACCTGAGCATTCGTGACGACGTGACCTGAGCGTTCGTTAAGACGTGACCTGAGCATTCATGACGACGTGACCTGAGCGCTCGTTAAGACGTGACCTGAGCATTCATGACGACGTGACCTGAGCATTCGTGGCGACGTGACCTGGGCAACTCGTGCCGACATAACCTGCGCACTCGTGTCGGCGCGGTCTGAGCACCCGTGCCGACGTGACCTGAGCATTCGTGACGACGTGACCTGGGCGCTCGTGACCTGTGCGCTCGTGCCCACGTGCCCTGAGCGCTCGAACAGACGTGACCTGTGCGCGCGTGCCGACATCGATGGATGAAGGGACGCGTGTCAGGTCAGCGCTCGTCCGGCTCAGGTGCAGGTGCAGAGCGGACAAGAGCGTTGATCCGCGCCGCCGGCGCTAGTGCTCCTCAGGCATGCCGGTTACATCCCGGCTCAACACCAGCGGGAGCTGCCGATTGCTTCGGCGTATCGCGCTGAAGCCGTTATGATTGATCAGCAAGCACACCTGCTGAGATCGCGCGCGCTTATCAATGGCTTTCACAGAGCCACGGAGTGGTGATGCTGGATGTGTCGATTGAAATCCCGAGCACCTCCCGACCGCGTGGACAGTGAATCAGCACTCACCGAGCATCCCGATGGGAAAGTCGTCCGGAGCGTCTTTCGAGCTTCCCTGCACGCTTTGCGTCACGATCCAGACGTAGTTCTTGCCTGAGGAAGAGCGTTCATTGGTTAAGGCGGGGATGGCTGGCCTGGACAGCGCATGTTTTCGGAGAGGCACGAAAACACCGTCCAGGGACGTCCGCAGACGTAGTGAGTCAGTTCGGACCGCATACGATGACACGCGCCAGGAAACTCGCGGTGGCGCGCACAAAGCCAGAGGAGGGCGTCACAAAGCTTCGCCACTACGACATACAGAGCCATTCAGGCTTCCAAGATAGTTGTCAGCGCACACAATGCTGCAGTGGGGATGACATTATGATAGCATTTTTCATCAAAGGCGCTCTTCAAGCCGCGCTGGTTTTTGCCGTGTTCATTTTTTGATCTATGTCGTGCATTTGGCTTGCGTGCATACTGACGGACGTAGCCGTAGCTCGAGGAAGCATTGCTTGCGTAGCTGGGCAAATCTTCCACTTGAGCCGTTTGTCCCAGCCCAACTGGCCCGTCAGACCCTTACGAGGCGACACTTACGCGACCACTGGCCAACTACCTACAGAGCAGCAGACTGACGTGTTCAACTGATGTCCACGGCTGACATTATAGGACTAACGCCACCCGACAGATGATAACCGACTGACACCATCCGACTGACGTCACCGACTGATGTCACCCACTGTCATCGACTGATGTCATCTTCTGACATTGCCCGACTGAGATAAACGTGCAAAACCTGATTGAAATAACTTGACGTCACCCGAATGATGTCGCCCGGATGTCATCATCCGACTGACGTCACCCGACTGACGTCACACGCATATCATCCCCCGAATGGTATCGCTCGACTGACGTAGCTCGACTGACGTCACTCGACTGATGTAGCTCGACTGACGTCACTCGACTGACGTCACTCGACTGACGTCACTCGATTGACGCCGCTAGACTGACGCCACTAGACTGACGCCACCAGACTAACTAGACCAGATTGTCACGAGACCGATGCCACTAGACTGACGTCACCCGACTGACGTCACCCACCTGTGATGCCAAGCGACGTGGCGAGACGCATGATGTGCACGGCCTCGTCGCGCGTCGAGTAGAGCAGGATGATGCGCGCCTCCGATTGGCTGAGCTCGGGCAGGTCGGTAGCCGGATCGGCCACCGTCAGAGTTCCGATGATCGTGAACCTGGGGACGCGCGCGCCGATTGTTAGCGCACTCGGCGCAGAGTACGCGGCTGGCACGCGCAGCGCGCAGCGGCGCTGGGCGCGAGGCGGGGGTGGTATCCGGGTCGCGGCGCCGGCTCGGCCAAAGAACAGTCTGCTGGCGGGAGCGGTGAACTCCATAGGGGACGGTGGAAGTGGGCTTTCTGACCTCGTTCGGGATAGCTCACCTCGACTAGAGCAAAGCCAGGGCAAAAACGCTGAGCTGCCTGTTAAGAAGCATGGGTTATCATGAGTTCAAATGGCGGTGCATTTACCGATTCTCATCGTACGGTGTCAATATGAAGTTTGATATCTGTTTACATGGCTCTGACAATCAGTTTTCATGATCAAGATAGGCACGTATGTTTGCCACAAATCTACAATATTATTCATACCATGGCGCATACACAAACAAAGCAGTACAACAAGAGCTTCCGGCATTTCCAATGTTGGCTTTCGTAGACAGGAGCAGGACGCGTGCAATTGCGGAAAAACAGTGTTACCGCTACTTTGAACCCAGCAAGCTCAAGCATCGTCCAAGTCCGACATTGCGAACGAGATTCGCTCGCGCCACACCGCATGTGCATCGCATTCTCCTAGAACACACGCAATCCCACGACCCATAGATGATCCCTGTATCAGTTTCAACACACCGCGGAGCACTGCGAGCGGACGGCTGCTTTTAATCAAATGTCGCTGAGGGCAGATTACCGTCGTGAGTCTGATCGGTTTAAGGAATGGCTTTGTCCTGCAGCCCCACATAACGAGTCCATCACTCAGTGCGCCCGGCCACCAGACCTGAGTTCCCGCGGGCCATCTTCGTGCCCGTCGGGAAATCTGACTTCGGCCTGCGCGGTCGCAAAATGCGCCCACCTCCGCCGAGCAAATTACGCGCGAGTAAAAACACGACGCCTCTGTCGCGACGCTAGAGACGGATGGCGTCCGCCTGTCGCCTGATGCCTTCTCGGCGTGTTAACTACCGCAAAAACCACCGGCTTCGGCATGCGGTCAGGCGAACCAGCGGAAGGGAAGCAGCGGCCGCGGACGGGGGAGAGGACGTGTGGTGGCTGGGTGAGAAGGCGCGTGATGGACGCCCGAGGAGACGTGCGATGACCGTGAGTGAAGACGTTTGACGGCTGCGAGAGAAGACGTGTGGTGGCTGTGGGGGAAGACGTGTGGTGACCTCGAAATAAGACGTGCGATCACCGTGAGGGAAGACGTGTGGTGGCTGTGAGGGGAGACGTGTGGTGACTTCGAAAGAACTGCAATGACCGTGAGGAAAGACGTGTGGTGACCTCGAAAGAAGACGTGCGATGATCGTGAGGAAAGACATGTGGTGGCTGTGAGGGGAGACGTGTGGTGTGACCCAGAAAGAAGACGTGCGATGGCCGTGAGGGAAGATGTGTGGTGACCCCCACAGAAGACGTGTTATGACCGTGAGGGAAGACGTGTGGTGGCTGTGAGGGAAGACGTGTGGTAGCTGTGAGGGGAGACGTATGGTGGCTGTGAGGGGAGACGTGTGGTGGCTGTGAGGGGAGACGTGTGGTGGCTGTGAGGGAAGACGTGCGGTGACCTCGAAATAAGACGTGCGATGACCGTGAGGGAAGACGTGTGGTGGCTGTGAGGGGAGACGTGTGGTGACTTCGAAAGAACTGCAATGACCGTGAGGAAAGACGTGTGGTGACCTCGAAAGAAGACGTGCGATGACCGTGAGGGAAGACGTGTGGTGGCTGTGAGGGGAGACGTGTGGTGACTTCGAAAGAACTGCAATGACCGTGAGGAAAGACGTGTGGTGACCTCGAAAGAAGACGTGCGACGATCGTGAGGAAAGACATGTGGCGGCTGTGAGGGGAGACGTGTGGTGTGACCCAGAAAGAAGACGTGCGATGGTCGTGAGGGAAGATGTGTGGTGACCCCCACAGAAGACGTGCGATGACCGTGAGGGAAGACGTGTGGTGGCTGTGAGGGGAGACGTGTGGTAGCTGTGAGGGGAGACGTGTGGTGGCTGTGAGGGGAGACGTGTGGTGGCTGTGAGGGGAGACGTGTGGTGGCTGTGAGGGAAGACGTGCGGTGACCTCGAAATAAGACGTGCGATGACCGTGAGGGAAGACGTGTGGTGGCTGTGAGGGGAGACGTGTGGTGACCTCGAAAGAACTGCAATGACCGTGAGGGAAGACGTGTGGTGACCTCGAAAGAAGACGTGCGATGGCCGTGAGGGAAGACGTGTGGTGACTGTGAGGGAAGGCGTGTGGTGGCTGTGAGGGAAGATGTGTGGTGTTAGCGAGAGTCAACCGTCCGGTTGACTCCTGACAGCCGGATTTTTCGTCGCGAGAGAAGGCGAACGCTTCTCACCACCGTCTGAATTGGTTCCAACAGACTGATAGCTCCAGCCGCCAAAAAAAGCAGTGCATTGAGATGAGCCGTATTACCAGAATGCGTTTGAGTCCTGGGACATGCGTTCATACCTGCATGTGTCATACGTTGCTCTTCAACAAATGCCATCGTAAGTCCCACGCTCACTCCAGTCAACATTTGAAAGCTAATCATGATTCGTTCCGAGCTGATATGAATCGGCCTGTGATTTGGATCACGGATGTAATGCAATAACCGTGATGTTGAATCATGGCGATTCGCTACGTGCCTTGAACTCAAATCCGCATAGAGTCGACTTCAGTCTTATTAGATCACAGATGACCAGTGCTGGCCTTCGATCGACTTGGCCACGAAGTGGGAGTACCAGGCTGGCAGTTCTAGTTTGGCTGCCATACGTTGCGGCGTTCGTCAGCGGCACTCGGGGGTTGCACGATCTTCCTTGCTTGGGTCGCGCTTCGCTCCGACAAGGTCAGTTGATCGCGGAAACGCACATTCGACTCCAATAAGGCTGAATCAATTGAATGTGTCTGAACCAGCCTTAGTTCTATCATTCACCAGCTTTGCCAGCGCAGTGTTGGACACTAAAGGTAGGACGCGCTGCAGAAACCGAACCCAGCTGGAACGTTCCATCTGTTGATATGCGGCGAGAAAAACAGATGGTAAATGTAAGAAGCAGTCTTTCAGCTAAAACGGCCGAGTAACGGCGCAAACGGTACAACAGGCGCACGGAATACTTCGGACGACGGCACCGTTACTATGCTGAAAAGCACTGTCGTAATGATGTGCTACTTTGACGTTTTGCTCCCCTCCCGCCCTCCCCAGAAACGGACTATGTTTAAGCCAAAACTCTGCAACGATATGGTACAGCAAAAGCTAATAGCCATCGCAAGAAGAAGATACGACATAGATCGGGGCAAGTGCCACGACTATCTGCCAGGGTCACTAAAAAGCTTTTATAAAAACCTCTTCGGCTGGCCGGATTCATTAACTCTTTTCCTAGTTTGAAGCAGTAGCCTCCACAGTTGGAGTCGGGGGATCAAAGAGAACTCGGCGAAACGCTCCAGGAAAAGAGCACTGCGAAACCCGTCTGACACTTTTCCTGGGTCTTGCTTAAAAGCCACTTCAGCGTCACGTTGCAAAGTATCAAGTTTTTAAGTGCTAGCGGTTTAGATGAAACTGTCGTTTCATTCATAAGTAGTATAGTGCTGGAAATGACTCAAAACTTCCGAAAGCCGATCGGGAGTTTTGCATGCAACAAAAAGTACCGGGAAGTTTCGCATGCAAGCAAAAAGCACCAGGAAGTTCCGCATGTAACAAAAAGCACCAGGAAGTGACAGGGAGAATACCACCCGTGGGGCTATATCGCTAACATAGACTCCAATCAATGCATGAGTAGTTACTGTTGTGCGTGCTGCCAGATTTTTCTCCGGGGTCACCCAAAGCATGCACTAGCCAATTAATTTCTATTAAATTTCTAAGGCCTAAAACACTAATCAAAAGTGAATTAAGAAATATTTAGTCTAGGAAGGTTGACAACACTAAAAACAGTGTGTCACCTCTATGACATTTAAAGAAGACATGCTCTGGTCAAAACTCAGGGCAAAATGTGTGTAATAATACCAATACGGAGTGCCTCTGTAGCCCTAACAAGATCTGATAAAACAATTAATGTGAATTATTGGCATTCAAAACTACGCGACCAATGTTTCGATTCACCGCCAAATATTTTATTTTCAGTAGCCCGACATTTTATTCCCAAAATGGCAATCTTGGCTCATACAAGAAATTTAATGAGATATGCATTGCAGCCTCGGCGACTACACTGGGGATTTCGCATCGACCTTATCCAAATTGACATGAAAATTAGCTGGCAATGAAAAGCAGCTTATTAGCTTAATTAGTAGAATCAGCTTGGCCAGCGATGAAAGTTAAATAAAGAGAAAAACCCACCTATACCCACCAGAAATCAGGACCTTGGCAGACCTGAAGAATGGTGGTCAGAATGTCATCCGCTATTTGCGGGTATGAATGACGTCAGTGGAAAAAGGCGTTTGTTGTTGTCCCAGCAAACGACACAACCTCTTCAGCGAGAGGTTGGTTGGTGGAAGTCTGTATGTGTGCGTCCCTTGACCGCGTGCTATGTTGCTGGTATGTACCTGCTTTGTAGATACAGCCGTGTAACAGACAGGTGTAAAACTAAATATGCATCCGAAAGCTACGGCGCCCTTTGAAAAGTCACTGTGCTTAACGTCATAATAATAGGATAAGTGAAAACCATTACATGACGCATCTTTTATAAGGTCTTGAGAATTCACCGCAATGCAGGCGGTACGACTGAGGCTTTGCTCGCGGCCACTGGTGTTTATGCCCCGCGCCGAAGCCTCTGTCACGAGACTTCCACTGAATTTGAGTGCTGTGGTATGGCTTCATTGTGGGAATCACGTATTGTAAGCTTTCATGTTCGTGTTTCTCCTAATTAAAACGTGTTCCATGGAAATGCAGTTACCGTCTCCGGACGCCAATCAACACAAAAACAGATAGAAGCGGCCGTGAGAGCATAAAGGTGGACGCAAAAATTGGAAGATAACGATAAACGTCAAATCACGTTTT